TATATATATATATATATATATATATATATATATATATATATATATATATTCAAAAAAAAAGAGAAAAAACTAGTCCCTTGGACATAAAAATGGCTGAAGTTACCCTCAATAGAATAACATCCAATTCACTTTCAAGCCTCATGTGAGTCCATCTGTGTATTCGTGCCTTTCTGAATCAGTTCATCAGAATTTCCCAATTACACTTATTAGATTTTGGTTAGGAATACACTTTCCTAACTCTGTTTGTAAGAGTGACTCTGTACGCTTGTACTTTAGGGTTGCTGTGAGGTCAGAGCTCATCAGGACAAAGCAAAAACACTCAATGGGATTTGCTAGTGTAGGGTAATAGAAACAGTGCTCTAGAGGTCAAAGGTCTGGGGCTATAATCCATTTACACCAGGACATGCATCTGGCGGGCTGTGCCTATTATAACAGAATATTATTTTGCTGTCAGTTGTTTTAGCAAAATGTCATGAACCTTATCTCTAAAGTCAATGGAAAAGTTTAGAGAAAAGTTTAAAAAACAATAATAAAAATAATAAATAAGATTAAACTAAACAAATAATTTTGAATTTACAATTTAGAAATTGATTCAAATAAAAATGTACTTAAATAAAATAATAATATGTTAATATATTTGATAAAAATAAATAAATGTAATAAAATAAAAGGTCACACTGCATAACCTTATCTCTGGAGTTAAAGGACAAGTTTAGAGAAAATAAAAAAATAAAATAATAATAATAAGATTAAACTAAATAATTAAAAAATAATTTTGATTTAAAAATTCATTCCAATAAAAATGTATTTAAATAAAATAACAGTTTGATTAAAATAAATAAAGGTAATAAAATAAAAGGTCACACTGCATAACCTTATCTCTGGAGTTTAAGTAAAAAAAAAATCATAATAGTCAGAATAAGATTAAACTAAATAAATAAAAATGTAGAAATTGATTAAAATAAATAAACTGATTAAAATAAAATTGTATTTAAATAAAAAATTTATCAAATTTAATGCAAATAAATAATACATCTTAAAAAGGACAGTTCTATAGTGAGTAGAAAGAAAATAGAAACTAAATATTTTACACAAATTGTCACGGTATTAATTGGGTCTTAAAACATGATAATATATCAATTGTAGGACAGCGGTCCCTCACACGAGGATGATCGTATTTGAGCACAGGCACTGTAAAACCATAATAAATTAATATTTGAGCTCTTTTAAACGGCGTAAGAAGCTTCCAAACTCATTCTGTCAAAAACATAGTAAAAACATAAAACATAGTTTTACTGTAGCGTATTATGATAATGAGTCTGTCAACCAATCAGCAAGCGAGAGAGACGCCTCACGGGCGCACGCGCTGTTCTAACGCTTCCGATGTGCACAAAAACACAACACCGCCTATATTTCACGACAACTTTCATGACAGACATAAACATTATGACACTCCCTCACACACACACACACACACACACACACACACACACACACACACTCTCACACACACACACACGCTCTCACTCTCACTCACTCACTCACTCACTCTCTGTCTCTCTCTCTCACACACACATTCTCTCTCTCTCTCTCTCTCTCCCCCCAAAGGGTGTATATGGTGGTGGATTTTCTTCTTTAATTGTTAACAGATCTCTGTAGCACAACATGAGAAAATGATTTGCCGTTTAAAACCGCCGTTTTGAGTTAGGACGATATTTAAATATCAATATTATACTTTAAATGTCTTTTAAAATTCAGTTTTTAGAATTTTAATGTGCTATAGGCAACCAGTATTTGCTGTTTCTTATATATTTAATTTCAATTTTGACTAGTTTTAATGATATAGTCTACATTCAAGGTTAAGCACTTTATGAACTCCATGTTACGGTTGTGTGTGTGTGTGTGTGTGTGTTATTTGAGTTCTGGCCAGTATTGATCCTTTTAGTTTTAAATGGGCCGGTCTCCCTACGGTGTTGATCAAGAATAAGTTAATACCATTCCTCGTTTGATTCTCTCCTGCCCTGAAAATGAATTCAGAACAGTTGCAGGTAGAATCTTGTAATCCTACGGCAGTAAATTATGGATATAATTTATTGGATTTTTTCAGTTGCTTTTTTGCCTCTGCCGTATGAATAATAGGATCAGAGAAGTTCAACGGGAATTTATTTGGAAGAAATTTTGATATTTGTACGGCCCTGTTTGGATGTTCAATTAAAAAACCCACATACACACACACACTCTCACCCACACACACACTCACTCACTCTCTGTCTCTCTCTCTCACACACTCACTCACTCTCTGTCTCTCTCTCTCTCTCTCTCTCACACACACACTCTATCTCTCTCTCACTCACACACACACACACACACACTCACTCTCTGTCTCTCACTCACTCACTCACATACTCACTCACTCACTCACTCACACACACACTCACTCACACACACACACACACACACTCACTCTCTGTCTCTCACTCACTCACTCACATACTCACTCACTCACTCACTCACACACACACTCACTCACACACACACACACACACACTCACTCTCTGTCTCTCACTCACTCACTCACATACTCACTCACTCACTCACTCACACACACACTCACTCACACACACACACACACACACTCACTCTCTGTCTCTCACTCACTCACTCACATACTCACTCACTCACTCACTCACACACACACTCACTCACACACACACACACACACACTCACTCTCTGTCTCTCACTCACTCACTCACATACTCACTCACTCACTCACTCACACACACACTCACTCACACACACACACACACACACTCACTCTCTGTCTCTCACTCACTCACTCACATACTCACTCACTCACTCACTCACACACACACTCACTCACACACACACACACACACACACTCACTCACTCACTCACTCTCTGTCTCTCTCTCTCACACACTCACTCACTCTCTGTCTCTCTCTCTCTCTCACACACACACTCTATCTCTCTCTCACTCACACACACACACACACACACACACACACGTCCCTCGTCCAAACCTGCCCGATGTGTGTCAGATGACGATACAGACTCTCGCACACTAGCACACATGCAGCAGACGGACAGCTCTGTGGCGTATTCGGTGTTATTAAGAGTGTCTTTAATAATGCACAAGAAACGGCGACGCTTCAGATTAAGCTCATGTGAATAGCTCGTGCAGCTAATGTGCAGGCAGTGTAAAGGCGCTCAGTGAACTACATGCCGATGTCAAGCCATATAAAAGCCTGTAATGCAGCACTTCAAGTGCAGGAATCGCTAAAACATGCGCGGATTTCAGAAAATGTAGTAAATGGAATAATAATTTGAATGAACCGTCTTACCTGATTCGCTTTCGACTGTCTGTCAGGCAGCGGGCGTATTTGTGATTGTGCGCGCATGCGCAGTGAGCGCTGCCGTCAGAGTGCACGCTGGGGCGAAGAGACCAGAAAAAAAGTTTTGTGAATTTAGTTGTTTTTTATGTCATTACATTGTTTGGAGCATAGGAAACAAATGGAGAGAAAAACATTTTTGAGAAAAAAATTTATTCATATTTTATTCTGTCTTTGTAGAGGACGCCAGGACTAAGTTATTTTTTATTATTATTATTATTTTTTCATTCACTAATCAGTTTTTAGGTTTCAGGCTATTTTTAGCCAAACTTTGTACAAAGATTATTCTAAACTATGTATAATATATATAAGTATATATACAATGGGCAAACCATAATGAAAAAATTAGTGTAATAATGGGAGTAATAACTTGGCAACATTTTCATAAGAATATCTCATATTTCATAGGAATAATTAATAATATATAATAATTTATTTCCCTATTAACTTGTGTTTCCCCAAAATGCCTGATTAACATGATGTTTGTCCTGGAGAGAGAGAAAATGATAACAGAAGAAAATGAAACTCAGGTTTGGAACAACATGAGGGTGAATAAATGATAACAGAAGTTTCATTTTTGGGTAAACTATTCCTTTAAACTTCAATAATAAAACATGATTTTTAAAGTCATGAAAATATTGCACAAATTCAATGATCTTTGGGTTGCAAACATATGTAGCTGCTGTTATTCAGTACATTCACCAGAGGGCAGATGTCAGAGGTCTTCAGGGCAGATTTGTGGCTCCAACAAACATTAGCTGATAGATCGGCCTGAGTGGAAATGCTAAATGACCGTATTAACACATATAAACATAAATACAAGCATAAATTTAGTTCTCTGGAGCAACTCTGCACATGGTCACACTGGTGTTCATGCATACATTAGCAAGAACAATCTCATGCTGTTAGATTATCATTATTTCATAAGCACATTTAAATAAAGTCAGAGGATTTCGACAGTATCTAGATATTATTCAAAGATGTTCTTCCAGCTAAAACTCAGTGGCATTGAGGAAAATGTGCTCAGTTGCAAACTGAAGGTCATTTCAAGCTTGCAAATTCCAATTTTTTTCTTACACCACTATATGATTCTGTCAAATAAATTACAAAGATTGCATATGATCAAATATAATCAACAATTGTGAAACATTTGACTGCAATTTTCCTCCATTTTAGTCCTCCATTTATCACTTTCAAAGTTAACTCAGCTTGAATTAAAGATGTTCAGAAATAATTTCACAGAAATCTTTTTAACCTGACTAAATCTGACTTGGGATTTAGCCTGGAATCATAAATAACACCATTGCCTTCTGTATATCCACTTTATAGAATTAAATTGTTCACAATTGATGAACTTTGGAACATTGACACTGTCACTGAGCTGAACTTAACTGACAACTGTTTTCTGTAGAACTGCTTTATAGCTGATGTTGAATTTGTTTGGTAATTGCAATAATTTTCCCCCGACAAAGTTATTGAACTGAATTGAAACAGCTTTGAACTAAATTAAGCCAAATAATGACACTATTGTTTTCTGTAAATCTGTTTTATAGAGTAGAATTCATTTTGTAATTGATGAACTTTGCAAAATGACATCATTGCTAAATAATGACAATTATTTTCTGTAGAGATGTTTTGTAGCCAAAATTAAACTTTTCAACATATTGAACTGAACTGAATCAATACAGAATTATTTTGAGCTGAATAATGACACTGCTGTTCTCTGTAGAGCTGCTGTGTGGCTGAACTCAATTTGGTTCATAAAAAATGAACTTTGCAACATTGACACTCTTACTGAACTGAATCAATATAGAATTAAATTGAGCTAAATTTATTAAATTGGCGTCATTTCATAATTATTGGACTGAACTGAATCAGCTTTGAACTAAACTGAGTTGAAAATGACACTATTGTTTTCTGTAGAGCTGCTTTATAGAATTGAATAAATGATGACCTTTGTAACATTTATTGAACTGAATTGAAACTATATAAATTTAGATACTGACACTTGTCTTTTGTAAAGCTGTTTTATAGCTGAATTGAATTATTGAATGTTTCATAATTGATGCACTATGTAACATTGACAGTTACTGAACTGAATTAAATCAACATTTAATTGAGCTGAATAATGGCACTATTGTCTTCTGTAGAGCTGATTGAATTTGTTTCATAATTAATTAACTTTGTATACAGCACTATAAATAAATGTGACTTTTGATAACCGATGATCGCTAGGCCGAGGTGGAGCGTTGTGGTGTGACGGTTGCAGTGTCTTTTGCATGATCTGGCATGTTCTGCGGGTTTATCTTCCTCTGAAAGCAGCTCATTTCCATAACGCCTTCAGACCTCTTGAAGAGCCACTCCACGCTTGTTATCCGTTGAACTCATTTCAAAATGGAAAAGCCCAAATTCTCTCTTTCCGCCCTGACAAGCACTCGGGGTGCCCTGCACATGGTGCAGATCGTGATGTGCGTGGTGACGTTTGTGGTCAGCTTCATCTGGGGTCAGCCACTTCACACCTACTGGATCTACTGCATGGTGGTGTGGGCTTTGTGTCCCATCATCTCGTTGATCATCACCATAGTGGAGATGTTCCTCATCCACAAGCTGATCCTGGTGTTCTGCATGGACTGGGATGACTTCACGACCGGCATGGCCATGATGGCGTCGCTCTGCACGTTCTCCTGCACAGCGATGTTCGCCAACTTCTACATCTGCCGGAAGTGCATCTGGGGCTGGATGGTCACGATCCTTTCGGCCGTGTGTTGCGTGCTTTACTGCGTGGAGACGTTCAGGGACAAATGCGACGCGATGCGCTCTGCAACGTACGTGGCTGCGCTGCCAGGCTTCATTAAGATCCTCGAGGCCTTCGTTGCCTGCATCATCCTCATTTCCCTGATCGGTTACGTGGGTCAACCGGCTCTGCTGTGGTGCATCGTGGCCTACGCGGTTCCTTTGCCTCTAACCCTCCTGACCATCATCACCAACATCTTGACCAAGTTAAAGAACTGTCTGCCCTTCAGCATTGATCGTTTCACCATGCTGTTGCTGTTAATATCTGTTCTGCTTTACATCTCTGCCGCCATCCTCTGGCCCACCTACAGCTTCAGAGGAAACCCGCGGCCCAATGACTGTCCGGGAAACAGCTGTATATGGAGCATCCAGTTTGTTGTGACCTTCATGACCTACGTTAACCTCGGCCTGTACGTTGCTGACCTGGTCTTGACCTGCTTGGGTATCTGTGGATTCAAACGCTCTCAATAGTATCACAAAAGTATACAGTACTTAAAAATAAAGGTTGCAAAAGTGTGTTTGTTGATGCCATTAAAGAACCATTTTTGATTCCCCAAAGAACTTTCAGTTCTTCAAAGAACCATTTTCTTTTAATGCGAAGAACATTTTAATAATCTAAAGAACCTTTTTTTCCACTGTAAAGGTTTAATAGATGGTAAACGTTCTTCATTGAACCATCAGTGCCAATTTCAAGATATTTTCATGTTCACTGTTATTTTTGTGTTTCGATAGTTATTGGAAATGTTTGTTTTTTTCTATTTCACTTCTATAAAAAGCTTGATTGCTCAAAATAAATGGTTTTATTTAACATCTCTGTGTGTGTGTGTGTGTATATATATATATATATATATATATATTACTATATTTATAGTATTATAACTAATAGGATGTATTAAATCGGTCAAGAGTTTTTTTCAACATCAATAATGTTAAGAACTGTTTCTAGAGCAGCAAATCAGCATATTCGAATGATATTTGAAGGCTCATGTGACACCGAAGACTGCTGAAAATTCAGCTTTGCATCACAGGAATACATTTGATTTCAAAATATATTCAAATAGAAAACTGTTCTTTGAAATTGTAATAATATTTCACAATATTACAGATTTCATAGTATTTTTTAAACACATAAATGCAGCTTGGTGAGCAGAAGAGACTTTTTCACTGAGAAAATCTTACAGACTCTGAACTAAATATATGTGACCCTGGACCACAAAACCATAAGGTCATAAGGGTCCATTTTTTGAAATTGAGATTTACTGTACATAATAAATAATCTTTCCATTGATGTATGGTTTGTTAGGACAGGACAATATTTGGCCGAGATACAACTATTTGAAAATCTGGAATCTGAGGGTGCAAAAAAATCTAAATATTGAGAAAATCATCTTTAAAGTTGTCCAAAAGAAGTTCTTAGCAATGCATACTACTAATCAAAAATGTTTTGATTTTTGAAAACGTTTTGATATATTTACGGTAGGAAATTTACAAAATATCTTCATGATCTTTACTTAATATCCTAATGATTTTTGGCATAAAAGAAAAATCTATAATTTTGACCCATACAATGTATTTTTGGCTATTGCTACAAATATACCCCAGGGACTTAAAGGGGTGCTATTATGCTTTTTCACTTTTTCAACTTTAGTTAGTCTGTAATGTTGCTGTTTGAGCATAAAAAAGATCTGCAAAGTTACAAAGCTCAAAGTCCAATTCAAAAGGAGATATTTTATTTAACAGAAATCAATTTTCAAAAACTACAACGAACGACTCATTTGGACTACGACGCATATTTTCCGGGATTTGTGATATCACAAATATCGACGAATGGGACGAGACCTGGTTGAGCTGCACTAGAGAAGGCAATGAGTGTTATCACTATGTCGGAGACACGCTAGCTTTCCCAAGGCAGACAAACTTAGAGTGGTTACAATCATCTGGGTTTAAATCACGCTCAAATTGATTTGATTTCGAGCAATATTTACACTGAAGCTTGCAGGCGGCTATGGTAAGGGGCGTGTCATTTCGTGACCAGGCGCAAGTGTTGCCAATCACAGCACACACTGGCCCAGCTAACCGATCACAACGCACACTGACCCAGCTAACCGATCACAACACACACCGGCCCAGCTAACCGATCACAGCACACACCGGCCCAGCTAACCGATCACAGCACATTTCGTATTTCAGAAGGCGGGCCTTCATTTGATACAGGAACTATTC